TTAAAAAAGATTGATACTGTATGAAAGGGTAAATTAACAAATTAATGAAAATAATATACATATATAAAAATATATTTATTCATTTCATATACATTTATTATAACTAATCGACGAAATATTTTACATTAAACTTTTTACAATAGTCCATTTCAGATGTGAATAAATATATCATTAGGAATGTTGATAAATTATGTAATTATTATTATCAGACTATTAACTTTTTTTGTAAAATATTAATTAAAACAACATTGTCTGCATTATTAATTACAGCGACAAGTGGTTTATGGTAACTAAAATAAGACACATGGACGTTCGTAGATACGTCGTTCACGAATCTTGAAAATACCGCATCAATGGTTGTACCATACCTCGTTGTCCCCATTGCTCTATCAGAAACAATATTTAAATTCAGTTCAGATTTTAAAATTTTTATTTATGTCAATCCGTCATCTTTTTTTGTCAAAGTTGCGCGACATAGGATGCGCACCAAAAACGTAACGAGGTCTTTCATCGATAGATTTTACTCCTCACATTTTTCTCATACCGGGCCCCTTATATATGCAAATCGATTCTTAAGGAGTAAACTCCAATAATCTTCTTACATGTTTTCCTGTAATCTACAAGAAAAGAGCTACCAGCTTAGACTCAGTAGTTTTGGGAATAAGGACAGGTCAATTTTTATCAATTTTCTTAAATAATTGTTAAAATTTTAATTATTGCCGATTGAGGTACGGAACCCAAAAAATACATAAATACGCCATTTGCCAACGACACTGTAAATGAAGAAGGTTTTTATCGAAAATTTTAATGAATAAGTAAGCGTGCAAACTTTTTGTGAAAAAACAAAATATAATAATATTTCTGTATAATGTCAAATAAACTTACTAAGTACAATCTTTTGCATTGTAATAGCGTTTTTTATAAAGGTTTGTGTCCAACACCTTTAAAAATATTTTTGAAGCCGTGGTTTCAAATAAACTGAAAAGGCTTTGAATCTAAAGAACCTACACCAGTGTATCAAACCCCCAACTTTATCTAGACTAGAACTAATATAAAAAGCTCATCAGTTTCCGCCTCTCATTAATGGGGGACAAAATTTTATATCTGCAGCAACCGTACCGCAGTTCTAAAGACGAAAACTACAAGAAACTTTTTATGATTTTTTAACCGAAATCTCATCTTGGTTTATTCAATCTACATTTCCTACTTTGTAATAAACCTAACATAAAAGTACGAGTCTTTTTAGATCTTTCAAAAATTATAGCAACAATAATAATTAGTGTAGGTACTTTTAATTTATGTTCGCATTTTTAAAAGAACTGCATTGAAATATTTATAAATTCATTTCCTTCATTTGTAACATCTCAAAGTATTTTTAAACGTTTGTGTTTTTGTGACAAAACAATTAAGAGAGTTGGCATACCTAATCAAGAGAAACGTAATTTGATTTGACAAAAATGTGCTTAATGAATGAAAACAGATTCCTTGCAATATCCCACATCAATACTCCAGATTAGTTAAATCAAGTTGAACAACATTTTCAGTATTAGGCCGTTCGCCGTTCATAAATAATTATAATTAGTAATGGTTTTAAAATAGAAGAGATAATCTACTTTTTTATCTTTATGCAGGCAAACGAGCTGCCAGTCCACTTGGTGGAAAGTGGTCACTGCTGTCCATCGACAATTGCAGCACCAAAGCATACCTCATTCGTTGCCGTTATACTTTCTATTTAGATTGATATAAAAAGAAACCCACAATTTCAATTTTGATAGCTTGACCCATTTAACCTCTTTAAATGAAGATAATATTTGGAACAACAAGTCGCCTGGTTTAGTAAAAACTAGTAAGTATTGAAGAAACAGAGACGGAAAGACAATGTTAAAATTAACAGGGGTATTCTCTGTTGCATGATGAAAGAAAGATAATTGAGAGAATGACGAAACGTGCCTGTGCTAATGTTGACCCATTTACACTAAAATTAAAGAACTTTCTAAATAAAATACTGAAAATTATATATTTTTATTATTTTATGGTGGCAATTCTTCAAGCTTTAGTACAAATGGCAATTTTTTGAAAATGTTTTGATTGTCGCCGCCGCGCCGGTCTGCGCATTTGGCAAGCCAAAAAGCAGCAATTTTATCTAGTCATGCGGGATTTTAAAACGTTTTTTTCTAACTTAATGTTTCATTTTATCGATATAATTAGCAAAAAAGAACAACTGCAAAGATGAAAACTGTATTTAAGTATAATTTCACTTAAAATTAAGAAAAAAAGTTTTGGTGTGCCATTCTTTGCTATAATATCTAGTATGCCAATGCCATTTGAAACTTTTTTGTTGATTTTGAAAGCAGTTTTATTTTCATACTTACCCCTTCTAAATAGCGTTCTGGAACCTTATTAAATAGAAAAATCAATAATGAATTTTATTACAGACAAACAAATAAAGAATTCCGCTTAAAGGGCCAATCATTATATAGTCTACCCTATAACGTGGTAATGGAAGGATGTAGAAGATGGGGCAAGCTAAGACTCGCCTATTATGATTAAATTGATCTCACATCCTAAAAGTAAGTGACGACAGAAGTCGCGAAAACCAGCGAAAGGATAGTGTGTGTGTGCTTTATTATTCCCTCTGGCTGTTTGATAAACATAATATGTAAATGATATAATATTTATTTTAATCCATTCTTGAAGCGGATCATGTAAGCCACTTTGGGCCCAACGTTTATAAAGTATGTAAAATAAATTAATATTCCAACGATATTAAATATGAACAAAATCGTGTCCGAAAATTGTCTAAAAGGTACATTGGCCGATCTACGGTGCTCCATAAGATGATCGCAGATCGCGTGGTTAAAAACAATATAAGGCATTATTTAAACATTGAAAGTCACCTTTAATGCAAACTGTATAAGATCTTAATTAAAACGCATTTCCTGTAATATTAATTTATTACACTGGCCATTCCACCGGGATATGAAATGGAGGTATGTTTTTTTTTTACAATTTAACATCTATAATATATAAGCAATTACAATTTTGAAGAGATATCTAATTTACATTTTGTCGCACTTAGTGCATTATTTTTCCCTGTTATTCTCATTCACATAAAAAGTTTGTGTGAATTGTATGTATGAAATGAATGCGCGTCGCATCTAGCTGTACGTTGGCATGTACACTACATAAAACTAAGTACAATTAATAAATAGCATGCACATTATATATGCAGACTTAGGCGTCGTCCTAATTGGCAGGAATCGTACGAGTATGATGACACAATGTATTCTCATCGTGCAATGATTTTGAAACATACAGGTTTCTTCAAAAGTGTCCTAATTACAGCTTGTAAGCCGTCGCACAAGCACAGGCATCATTTAATAACGATCGTACGATTTGTTTAATCGTACGATCATGTAACAAAACATACCGATTTCATTTGAGGGTCCTAATTGGTCGCGCATCATTGCACGAGCACAGCAACCCATGGGGTATAGGACGAGCAGGGCGAAGGGCAATGTTGGTTAAAGGATGTGAAGAAGGTTTAGTCTGCACATTTGGCGACATTTTAAAAATATGACGACTCTTCGCCTTTTGGGTAACAGCATCGCACGATCAATTAGGACACCCCTGTTCAATCATCATACGATTATTTTCATCGCACGATGTGATCGTATCGTGTCATCGTCCGATCGTGATCAATGAGAACGACGCCATACATGCACACACACAAATACAAATGATTTAACCTACTTAATATTCTTTTTTATTCAGAATATTTCAATATAATGTTTAATCATTGTAACTACTAAAGAAAGATGAAGGCGATAAAGGAGAGGTGGCTACCTAATTCTAAGCTTTAGATCAGCAGATATTCTTGTGTACCTACATGAATTTAAACCTAAAGTCCGACTGATTTATGCAGCCACCATATCTACATCCGCTCGCGATACAATTGTTGCGAATTGCCTACCCCGGAGGCCTACTCAAAATTAACGAAAAACTAAATTTAGATCACACTTAGCACGATTTTCAGTATGTTTTTTTTTCGTATCAAATTATAATAATATTCGTACGCCCGAAAATAGATTGATGTTTAAATTCTCTAAGCCTAGTCAAGGAAAAATTTAATTTGATAGTTTATTGTTCAAATTAAGTATAACCTCAAATATACCAAATTAATTTTCGTTTAAACTTTGTTACCGAGAGTTAGTTTCGGAGAAAGAGAGTAGACCCCCTGAATCTTATCCTCTGCCCCGTAGAACCCTGTAAACTTTACTCTAGGACATAACAGAACACTACCAAAAGATAGTATTGCTTCACTGTCCTCTTATGTGAAGAAGAGGTTACTTCCACAACAGGAGCTCCAATTTAAGACAACAATGCTATGCTCTACCTCTTCTAAATTTATAACTCTGCCACAAAAATTTCACTATGTCCAAAATTTCCTTTATCGCCATACGAAAATAAGTCGAAATTGGTTTAACCGGTGAAAGCATAAAAGACTGACGACAAAGTTAGGCATACATTTTTAACCTATGAAAATTTTGCTTTAAAAAAAATGAAGTTTATTTTATAAATATATGTGATCTTCATAGATTTTTTTAAAGAAAGAATTGTGTTCCATGTTTTATTTAATTTTATCAACTGAAGTTGTATGTTTCCTTTTATTTAAAAAAATCAATTCCGGAAATGAAATGCCTCTAAACCTGTGTCTAAACTGACACAAAAAAAATATACGACCTGTATATCTACCAAAAATAGAAAAACCGATGTTATTAATAAGGTAGAAAATTATGACGTTGGCTTTATCAGGAATTTTGAGAATGTACTATGAAATTGAAGTTACTCAGTACCTACTTGTAATTACAACACAGCTATGATTTCATTTTTCTATAAAAGCTTATACAGTTCAACTTAATGCCATAGCATTTACAATATCCACTTATTTCTCTTTAAATACGTGGAAACTGTTATATATCGGGAACTCTGAAACTTACAAACTGTCACGTTGTAACAGAAGCTAAGGAAGTGTTTCCAACATCCGCCATTTTGGGGTACCGCTAATGTTTGGAGGTGACTTTTCGTTTTCTGTATCAAATCATTAATTAAGTTAAGTATGCTGTACTTTACATTTCATTTCAATTGCGTTCCGTATTTTATAAAAATGAAGAATATTATTTTATGTATTACATTTTTTTATTACGAAAACCTATATATAATCGAATGTTGTAAACAGGTTTGTCTCTTTTGAATTTTAATTCGATAAAAACATTAAAATGATAATAAATCTAGTAAGCAGTAGAAAAATATTATCTTCCATAAGTTTCTTTCAAACCCGTATGAATACGATTCAAAATGGTACTTTTAAATTTATTGTTCGGATCAGATATAATGTTTTGTTAATCGACTTTCGATGGTTTCTTATATAAGTTTTAGTTAGTAACTATAAATATTAGCACTATCGATACTAGATGTTTTTGAACACTATCAAATCCACATTTCGAACAAAGTGCCATTTCAAAACAATTATATGGATTATAAATTGGGCGTCGCAAACACGCTATTCACATAACCCAAATCGGTTGAGAATAAAAATCAATCCGAAACGCAGTCGATTACGTATCGGACCGCGAAAATTGGGCGGGAAAACAGAAAAAAGTTTTTTTCTTTTTATAGAAGCACAGATAGGTATTAGTGTTTGTGAAATATGGTTTTGCTGTGAATTTTACTTTTTGTTTTATATAGTGCGAGCGTGTTTACAGGCGCGATACGCGCTTGCCGCGGCGCGGCAGAGCTTACACTGGCCGACTTAGGGGAGCTCGGTCTTTAGGGGAAAATTTTCCCCGGTTGTAAGGAAATACTTTAATCTCTTAAAAGGTTGCTTGCTATAATTATAATCTCCGAATCTATTCACTGCTGGGACTGAAACGGGAATTTAGGGGCGTTTGTAGCTAGAAAATAACGTTGTGTCAATAAGGTTTTATTACGTTTTATTAAAATGACTTTAATGTGAATGTATGAAGTAAGCAATATTTATAATATAATGAAACTATTGGAAATATAATAACTTTAATAAAACCTTTGTTCTAAAACAATGAAATATAAGAAGTCTCATTAATTTTCTTTTGGCTTCCATTAACATATCTAATCAGACCAACATTGAAAATAAACACCGGTACCATAAACTTAATATATATAAATTAGTAATAACAGTACGTATTTAGGACAAGTGAAAAGTTGAAATAGTGAAAGACCATTTATTTCGTTTATAGCACAGTGTGACCTAAACCCGCACTTTACGCACGCTTTTCCGTGACCTAAGTTGCCTATTTCTGCACAGTGTGTAAATGAATTGACCAACTTCACTCATGTAGAAAAAATAAAAGGAAACACATTTAAATGTCATTTGGAGCTTAAAAACTCACAGCAAACAAATGACAAATTAGCGATAGGTTAGGGATTTTCAGTGACAGCCAAAACAAGGAGAAACGGTTAGCTATAATTCATTCCGCGAGAATTGTATCTTTGTTTAATATATTGTTATGCCAATCAAGGAATAAACGTTCATGGATACATTGAAATTCTATTTTGTTGTAATGATATTTGATTTTTTCCTTTTGAAATATACTTTCAAAATGGCAATCTGAACCGGAATTCTTTCTTTTCAGAGTTTGACTTGCAGTCTGTATTGCAATTCTTTGTGATTGCAATACATGAATTTTACTTTCACGCCGTGCAGTAATAGGCAACTTAGGTCACGCGTATCGTAATGTACTATTTGTTAATTTTTTTTTTAGCTGTAATAAACAAATTCATTACTTTCAAATTAGAATCGGAATATAATAAAGCGAACCTAAGAGAAGGTAAATTTTGTCATATTTTCATGACAACTCATATTAGGTGCGATTTATACATTTTTAAAAATCGCTTCAGTAGTTCAGGCTTGCAAGGGTTATATGCAGACGTGCCAATTCACTATAAAATTTAAAATATTAGTGTGGATTCAAGGGCAATTTTGGCAACACTTACGCGTTTTAGTCGAGTGACTGCAGCACAATTTTTAACATAAAATCGTAATCTCAGGCGCACTGTTAGTTTTTTTTAATGTGCCATACAAGCAAGACAGCAAAATATAGTGTAATGTAGATTAAAAGTAAGAAAGTACCTAATTATGCACTAAAGAAAATCCTAATAATAATATAAACGTGAAAGTTTGTATGTTTGTCAATCACACAAAAACTACTTAATGAATGAAATTTAGTACGCATATAGCTTGTGATCGGGATTGAGACATAGGATATATTTATCCCGGAAATAAATTTGGTTCCTATGGGATTCTCAGAAAGCTAAAGTAAGTGCGGACGAGGTTGTGGGCGGCCGCTAGTAGGTAAATAAACCTGAGAGAGAATAGTTAGTTTTTTCAAGAATTTTTAATCATAACTATTCGTTGTTTTTATTAAATATGTAAATGCTTATCAATCTAATCATTATCACGGAACTTACTCCTTTTGCACTTAGTAAGACATGTTTACTTAGCATAAATAGTAAATATTTTCACGTAACCGAAAACTCGCGTGGGATACTTCTATGAAATACCGAGGTAATAATTTTTTTTTGTGTGTAACACTCCCCCCGCCTCGCTATCCCTCCCGCAGCTCGTCGCGTAGCTCCGCCCGCTACGAGACTACGCAGCTATACTACGAATCTGTATCTATCTATAATAACTACTATGTGGTAAAAACTTCAGTAGCTTGTTTTATTAAGTTTCCACTATGTTACTTTTACTACGGACAGCTAGCTATCAATGAATGAAACGCATTAATTAGAAATCTGCTTATTAGATAAATTTTGATTTGACATATTATTATGAAGATGAAAATGGATGAACGTCAACTTATTGATTTGATTAAGATTAGAACTCAGGATTACCATCTCAGATGATTATAATTATCATTAGTTTGAGATTAGTGTAGACTATGGAATAGCTATTTATTAACAACACTAGAGATTAATAATAAACAAAACGCAAAATGCGAACCAGAATCGCACGCAAATATTATCGTCAAGTTTTAGTAGTTTCATAATATAGGGAAAGTTTTATTTATGGAGACCTTTTTTTCGGCTTATTTGCTGGAGTAGGTGTTGCTCTATGATTTTAAACGGTTAAATATTGTACTTATATCTGGACATAATGTAACGCGAAAGTTTAAAAGTGTATTTTTATGTTTTAGCGCCAATAGAAATACTTTTTTCTACTTTTTAAGGGTTCATGAGATAAATATCAAAGGCGGATTTCCATTTTCATATTTTGAATACGGTATCCTAAAGAAGCTAGAAATTTATAGAAGAATAGACGCTCTTATCTCTCCAACCAATTTATTTAGACAGAAAGTCTGTACAGAATATTATGAGTAGGGTAACGTGAAATATAACAACAATTAAAAGTAGACACTTGCCGCCTTATTCCAATTCTTTTTTATTCTCTTAAAATAAATTAAAAAAAAACAATTTAATTCAACATTTATTGCAGACCATAATAGAGATACAAATGTGGTAATTTTAACAGATAAAATAGTGCATTATGGCCCCTGTAGGGTATCGCAATTGGAAGAGGAGAGGTCATTTTTTTATAATTCCTTATTGTGACATAATTTTTTATATCCAATGTATTAAAACCTATAAAAAATATCTATTCATACTACTCCAATAAGATATTGTACCTATAATGAGATTTATGTACGATTATTTATTTATATAAGTATTATTATATTATATCAGTTTATAATAAAAATAATATAGTATTTATTATATTTATTCCATAGCAGTTTTATCACTAAGGTATTCCTGGAGGCTATAATAGTATTTATTCAATAACATTAACTTTTTTTTTTAAATGTTTAGGTAATTTATTATAGATAGACATATTATAAGTGCTCGATGGGCATAATTTAAAGCGAGCATTTGGAACCATTAGCTTTTTCTTGAATCTCGATTATATTTATAAGGAACGTTTTCTCTTCTAGTAAAAAAAATTGAATATTTTTTACAAATCTCAAATATATAAATGCTTGGTAAAGAAAGAATTTAATATTTTTGGAAGTAAGGTTTACAACTTTCAGTTTGGTTGATATTGAAAATAATACGGATAAGTTCCTTTTGTTGTATAAATAAACAGGATACGTCCGTACTGTTCCCCCATAAGATGATTCCATATGTAAACCAGGCATTGGCATAAGCATAATATGTGATAAGAGCAGTCTTTAGATCTGTTGTTTTTTTGACTTCTCGAAGTGCATATGTAAAGTTAGATAATTTATTTTTTAATAAATGGATGTGAGATTTACATTTTAATAGTATAGACACTAATACTTAGACCCAGTGTTGAAAAATTATTTACAAATTCGATGTTTTTGTTTTGAAAACTGTAACAGAATTTTAGTGGTAATTTTTGACGCAGGTGAAAGGTTATTAATTTAGTTATATCAAAGTTTATTCTAAGGTTATGTTTGTTAAAAGTTTTATCTTTTTTATCTTTTCTTTGTTTTATCTTGCTGGCATACTGCAACTTCCTCTTCGTTTAACTATCCCTTACCGCAGAGGTTGTCTGGAAGAGATCGCTTAAAGCGATGAGGCCGCCTTTGCCCACATTATGTTATTGTTTATTTTTATTTTTGTATTTTTTAGTGTGTGTGCAATAAAGAATTTATCTATCTATCTAAAAGTCTGGGTCATTATTAAGTTTAATTTGCTTTGTAAGCTGTTGTCATTTTGACAAGATGTAAGAAGACCTTTCCAAAACGCAGACTAAAGGTATAAACCGAATGTTGTGTGTCTTTTTTTAACAATCAAAAGTGACAGCATTATAAGTCCAGCTTTAACTTTAGTCCACGTTTTGTAATAATGTGGTTCATAAATAAAATACACTTAAACGTGTTCAAAATGCGTGTTATTATTACTTTTTTGAACATCTTTTGACTTTTTTGTCGATATTTTCATGCAAGACTTCCAGAAGAGGACTCTCAGCGTGGCAACTGACGGTACATAGATTATACTTTCACAATCCTTCCAACAGATCAGGTTTCTGCTTTTTTAAATCATCTGAACTCCATGCACCCCGATATCCAATTTACCATGGAATTAGAGGCAGATAGTAAACTAGCTTATCTAGATGTTTTATTAATATTGAATCCTGACCAAAGTTTAAGCCATACTGTATATCAGTACTGACTGTGAAATCAAGCGAGTACTGAAGGATAATAAACTGAAAGTACCACGTCGCTGTCACAATCGCACTTAAATAGCACAGTTGACCGATAACCTGCTGTACTAAATTACATGAAAGGAGACGCTGACAAAACTGGAAGGATTCTGAAGCGTGCTTCGATCAATACTTAATTCAAGCCGCCAAAGAAGATCAACCAGTTTCTACGACCTGTCAAGCGTAAAATACCCTTTCTAGTTGCTGGTGTCTACAGCATGATTGCGACTATGGGCTCTCCTACATCGGGCAAACAAAGAGGAGTATAGGGACTCGGGTAAAAGCACATATTGCAGATATGTAACATTTTTTTATGCATAATAGGCTATGCGTTTGACCACAATTTCGCCTGATGGAAAGTGATAATCAGGCCTAGGATGGTACACGCCTGCCTCGAAAATGCCTGTTCACACTGGCCTCGAATATGTCCAGATTATATTGGTCTTCGCTCAAATCGCTTCGTGTGAGTGGGAGGAACTTCGACAACATAAGGGTGAAAGGCCCTCGCCGCGCCTGCTCGTCCGTTGGTGGAAAGGGGAAGGGGGGGTTTAAATTATGTAATAACTCCGCACACACTCC